CACAGCCACTGCTAAGTGTCCAACCCACCAAAAGCAGAGACCAATGATGAGCTTGAAATAGCACCATCCTCTGGGGAATCGGCCAGCTATCTGATAACAGCTTAATTACATTGGACCACTTCTATCATAGAAGGGCGGTATTTAGTTCTCCACAGAAAAGTACTCTCTATATGGATCTGGTTCCCTACCTGTAATGCTTTTGCTGAAATCAGCATCTGTGGATTTATAAAATCCTCATGTCTTACCATCACGGTAGTCCACAATGCTTTGCTTCTGACCAAGGAACTTCTTTGCAGCAAGTGAAGTGTGAGAACAGACGCTTGTGCACATGAAATCCGTTAGTCTCACCATGTTATCCGTCATTCTGAAGCAGTGGAAAGGTGGAATGGCTCTTTTGACAATGCAGTTACTGTGCAAGATGGATGGAAACACTTTGCAGGGCTATGGTATATTCCTGCAGGATGCAATAAATTCTCTAAATCATCAGCCAATATATGTTGCTGTTTCTCCCTTATCCAGGATTCACAGGTAGAGGAATCAGGGGTGGAAATGGGAGGAGATCCTCTCACTCTTACACCTAGTGACCCACTTGCAACATTTGCTTTTTCTACCCTCGACTTCAGAATCTAGTGGTCTAGAAGTCTTAGTTCCCAAGGGAGAGATGCTTCTACTAGGAGATACAGCAATGGTTCCATAAAGCTAGAAGTTGATACTGCCTCCTGGCTACTTCAGGTTCCTTATGCTAAAGAATCAACAAAGCAGAGTATCACTTTACTGGCTGAGCTGACTGTGACTATGAAGAGGAAATTGAGTTACTACAAGACTGTAGGAGTAAGAAGTATGTCTGGAATTCAAGGGCATCTCTTATACTTTCTTGTCCTGTAACTACTTTTGCTACTGTAACAAAGTAAATGGAAAACAACCCAGTGCAGGCTCAGCTACCAAGGGTTGGGTCCTTCAAAAATGAAGGTTTAAGTCACCCCAATAGGCAAGGAACCATGAGCAGGTGATGTGCTTGCTGAGGATAAAGGATACATGGAAGGGATAGTGAAAGAAGTTATAAATAGCAGCTATAGTTGCAAGATCAGTTACAGACATTAGGATGGTAAGAGTTATGAATATTCATTCCTTATTTTGATATAAATATATTTGGTTACATATTAACTAATTCTTTTTTCTCCCCTACTTGCCATCTAATATAAAATGTGGCAAAGGTAGTTATCCGTTGTATTAGTTTCCTAGGGCTTCTGTAACAAATTACCACACACTGGGTGGCTTAGCACAACAGACATTTACTCTCTTACAGTCTATAGATCAGAAGTCCAAAATCAAGTTGTCAGCAGCATCAGTTACTTTTCGAAGGCTTTGTGAGAGGTTGCGTCCCAAGCCTCTCTCCTAGCTTCTGGTGGCTACTGGTAATATTTGATGTTCCTTGGCTAGGAGGTGCATCATCCGGCCTCTGCCTCTGTTGTCACATGGCATGTTTTCCTTTGCATCTGTGTCCAAATTTCTCTCTTCTTAGAAGTACAGCAGTCATTGGATTAGAGCCCACCTTAATCCAATATGACCTCTTCTCAACTTGATTACATCTGCAAAGACTCTATTTCCAAATAAGATCGTATTTTCAAGGTCCAGGGGTAGGACTTCAACATATCTTTTTGGCAGACACAATTCAACTCATAACATCCTTATAATCGTATCTCAGCATTTAAATTATAAGACATCAAACGGAGAACGACTCAGCCAGAAAAGACTGAGTATCACCCAAAAATGGATAAAGTACCATATGGCCTATGTATCCTCTTTGGGGGAGAGGACCAGTGTGTTTTCATCTGCAGAAGTGATAGTTGCATCTTACTAGATAGCATTATTTTGCTAATGTCTTTATTTGAAAGTTATGAAAGGTTAAAAGAAGTGTAGATGAATGCCAAATTGGCAAGGGATGGACTCTGATGGTTTTGTACAGTATCAACTTATCTAAATCAGTAACCACATCTCCCAGAATCCCCTTTCCTGTTTCACACTGGGTTAAGGTCAGCCTTAAGGGAAATTTGCATGAGGTTGGACATGAAGCAGGAGCCATTTGAAGGGACACAAGCATTTAAGGCTAGCACACATTTCACCGATCCAGGGGCTCACCTCGACTTTGGGAAGCAGCTATGAGTGCAGCTCCTAAAGCACTCTCCAGATCTGTACCCTGAACTTCACCAAGTCCTATACAAGATACATGTTCAGCTCCATAGCAAAGGGCCTTAGATCCTTCTCCAACTCACCCATATCAAAGCTGGTAAAAGGCTGATGCAGGGTCCAGTTTTTCCTCCTAATTCCAGTTCTTTACTCTCCTCAACTTCATGCCCCACTTTTCTCCCTGATGGCCATGCTGGTGCACAGAAAGCTCGGCCCACCATCAGAGGCAACACACTCTTCACTAGATCCCACGATTGCCTGACGTCTAATCCCTAGAATAAAGCCCTCATTCTATATCATTCAGTGTCTTTGACCAAACCCTGAGACACGTGTCTTGCCCCAAACATTTGCAAAGTTGTCAAAGAGGAGGAAATTGAAAGCCATGAAAAGCATTAGAGTTCATGTACTACCACCTTCAAAAGGCGGGGCGTCTTCTACAGACAGGTGTAATTTCGGACACTTGAATACTTTATTATTGCCCATCCTGCTGGGGGCCAGTGCTTAACAGTCATTTTCTACCATCCTACCCACCACCTCCCATCCACATATAACGGTTGTTTCCAATCAGAGCTTGAAACCAAACATCAACTCGTATTTCCTAAGATTGTTTGTTACATGTTTGGGGAAAAAAGCACAAATATATTGTGTTGCAGCCTGTTTATAAGAGCCTGTTCCTAGACAAGCTGATTGATCTCTACCAATTTGGCTTGCCAGACTTCTTACCTTCAGAAGACCTACTTTATTAGCATTCTTAGTCAATTTCTGGAATGTGATTCAGATCCTAGTTCTTTACTAGCATAGATTATTTATTTTTTTTTCACTTTAACCTCTCATTTTCTGCTGTTTTTCATTTCACTGCCCTTTGAAAGGCCATCTCTCCCCTTTACTGTCAGCACGGGATTACTGGGTTGTGCTCATTTCTTCTTTCATATCTCCCCTTGCACATGGCCTCCATTTGTCAGCCTCCTTGCCCCACCTCCTGCCCTGCCCTGCCTGTCCTCATCCAAAACTAGTTGTCACAAGCTCTTCCATGAAATGTGAACCTCTATCCTGGTTCATATGTGTTAAGTGGAAAAGTACTAGCTATTGAAATAAATGTATATAGAAGAGCTGGAGCTGGTATTCTGTTCAACTTAAAATAACAGTGCCTGCTATACTTGTTTGTTTTTAACTATATATATTATGGATTCAATTAAATCATAAAATTCACTCGGCATAAAACAACCCTTGCTGGATTCTGAAAACGATGCATTTATTTGTCAGAGACTGCTTTCTCAGGAAGACACAATTATTTCCTAGCTTAGCTCTAAAGCTCCCAGGCACCTAGCGAGGCCCAGAAACCTGGGGAGTCTGGTTTCTAGAGCAATGGCTTGGTAAATCCATATTATATTCATGAAGTGGTTAACATTCCTCATGAAGAAATGGAGGCTAAGTGACTCAAAGCAGATTAGTTGAAAAGACCTGAGTCCCTCTCTCAGAATTTTTGGTATGCTGGTTGGCAGGATTCCTGTCTGCCCCAGGATAAACTCTCTCTCAAAATCATAAACTTCCAAAAACATGAATCATTTCCATGTAGCTAAAGAAGAGAAATTATACTGATCCTTCTTGTTTTAAAAGGAAGGAAACAAACCGTATACACTATCAGAAATTTAACATTTGGATTTAGAAAAAACAAAAAGGAATGTCTAGTAAATTACCATGTATTTTAAATCACTGATTAAATATCAACATGACTCCTTAAATAAACTCTAGCACCAAGGAAATTGTTAGTCTGAAGGGTAGAAAGCGTCATGACAGAGTTTTACTTTTCACCTGATTAACATGTCGACATGTTGAATTAAACTAAAATAATCCCAACCAACTCTCAGTTCATTCCCGTTAAATTCAATCTCTACTTTTCTAATAATAAAAAACAAATTAAAATTACTTTTGGTAGAAAAGCGATGTAAAAAAATGTCAAAAATATTTCAACATTGGCCAGCAAATGTTCTAAACACAGTTTACGTCAAATAAAGTCATATAGAATTGGACATGCCAGGTTCTTCAACTCTTTCAGTCACCCCAGGCAAATTTCAGTTTGCCATGAATCTTGCCTATGGCCAAGTCCCTCTAGACTGTTTTAATAGGCTATCTATTTTAATAAAACATAGAAAATGTTTGGATTGCGTTCTTCCCTTGCCCCACCCAAATTGTCCGTGAAGTGGGAACCCAGCTATGTATTAACCAGGTGTCACCATGAAGAAGCTTCTAAGGACTCTGTGCATAGGAAGCTGAGTTTGATTTGCTGGGAAAATACAGAACAGCAATTTGTTGCAATGCACTACATGGTCAATGTCACCAAAGACGTCAAGTGAGCAAGTGGCAATGGAGGGGGTGAGAACCATCAAGACCCCTAAATGGCAGATTGTCACAAATATTTATCAAATAGCCACTGGGGAGGTCACTGAATTCTAACCAATCGATCCAGCAGTAATTTGGTTACCAAGGCTCAAAGGAGGACAGGAACCTCCCAGACCCTTAAGCTCACTATACCTGAGGCTTCCTAACATGAGGCATTATGTTTGCAGAAGAGGATGACAGGTTGTGAGAATGGAGGGGACGATGACTGGGCAGCTCAATATGGGAGCTCTTTCACTTCCTTGCTAATCTGTTTCACTTGAGAACAGAGACTATTTTCTGGTCTTCATCTCCCTTTCCCTACATAAAAATGTGTTTTATTTCTGATTACATTATATGTACAAATTACCGGAAGTAAAAGACTCTTGAACCTGAGTTAAGGTAAAAGAGAAGTAAAGAAGACACATCCCCAGACGAGTGTCATTTATATAAATGAAAATAATTTTTTACACAATCAACAGAAACACACCAAGATTTTTTTGCAAAAAATATTTTTAAATAAATTTTTTTTTTTTTACATTCTGATATACATACATAACAAGATTTATGGCACTGTAATCAGAATCAAATCAAAAAAACAAAAAACAAAAAAAGGGAAAAGTAAAAAGGGAAGGAAAGTAACTGGTATTGTTGAATTCTTTTCTATCTCCAAGCTGGCAAATTTGCACTACTTATTTTCATTCACTGCCAGCTCTAACTTGTTTGCACACTCAAAACACCATATTATTGCACAAGAAGCCAGTGAAGGCATATGGTATAACAGTCAGTTCCTTGCCATTTTGAAAAATCTCTTAAACCTAGAGAAAGGGGAAAAAAAATCCAGAGCACAAAACACAAAATTAACAGTATCTTTTGTCTCTTTAAAGAATGTGTGAAGGGTTCTTAGACCACTTAAGCTGCCCTGATCTTCTCTTTGCACCAGTGAGCACGACAGGGCTTGGTTTGGTTGGGTTTTTGTTTTCCAGATGAATGGCCCAGCGGATCCCAGGCCTTCATGATTCAGTGTCTTTTCTATTTACTTTTGGTTCTTTTTAATTGGTTTAAAGTATAGTATCTTCGGTCTATGAACCTGCACAGACTATTTAGTCATAAACTCTACAAATAGCTTAAAAGCAAAGGGGGAGAAACAAGTTGTATTATATTTTTATTGTTGGCTTTAAAAAATGACTTCTTTAGCCTCCCTGTTTTGTCAGTTTGTGGGAAGTGAATCTCAATGGCATCAAAAGTTATAATCTTCTCACACTTGTTAAAAATAAAGTTTTTAAACAAGTTTGTTCTGTTCACAAACTTCACCCCCAAATAAAAAAATAAAGAGAGAACAAACAGAATCCGTCCTCCTTCCTCTTCGTCTCCTGATGGACAGCAGGAATCCTTTCTGTCCCGGCTGCTGTCACACCACCGTTTCCACGCCCACCAGCTTTGGTGTAAGGATTCGCGGTGTCACACCGTTGTTGAGGTCTTCTTCAAACTCTAGCAACTGCCCCATGAAGTTAAGGTTTGGGGAAATAATTGGTCGTTTGCCTTTGACAAATTTATAAGCATCAGTCATGGTCATCCTTGTGTGCTTCATCAAGTAAGCAATGACGATAGTGGCAGAGCGTGACACTCCCGCCTGGCAGTGGATGAGAAGCCCCTTCCCACACTGGTGAGCTTCCTCTGGAAAAACAGAGAAGGACAAGAGGTGAAGGGAAGGAGAAAGGGAGACGGACAGAGAGAGACTCACTTTTATCTCAACTTGACAATGCCTTATGTTACGGAGAAAGAATGAGTTAAAACAGTTTTAAAACCAAGTCTAATCTACTAGTTAATTATGTGTATGTCACAACTTCCAGCACTGGCTAAAATCAATATTAGTGTGAATGAGAAGCTACATGTCTACATTTAAAGAGAAGATGAAGTGAAAAAAATCACTCATAGAAACAGTTTCCTTCAAAGGTGATGGCAGTGGACTGAAGCTAGACCAACTGCACAACTAATGTACGTGCTAAGCGAGCTGCGGATTAAGTAGACCCCAACAGTCTCCGTAGCTGCCCTCTCAGATGTCTTATTTCCAACCCCCTCCCCCTTTTTTTAAAAATCATATTACTGAAGAAAAAGAAAGGAAGGGAAGGGAGGGCAAAAATCATACATATACACATAAATATACACACACATATATACATGTATGTGCATATATAATATAGTTCCTCTTCTGATAAAGGATGTTAATTCCACTTGCTAGGTTGTATGACTTATCAAAACTAGAGTTAACATTGAATCTCCCACCTGTAACAGAGAAAACACACATTTCTTTCTTTATGCTACAGAATTGCTCTGTACAGGAACTGGCATTAAATGGATAAGAGGTTTCGGTCTTACTAAACCATGATCAAGGTGAAAGGAACAAAACTCAACTAGAAAGTTAGCATGTTCAGCTTCTCACCAGAAAAGCCAACTGTTGCATAGTTAACTAACCACTTGTAGTACACAGGCCCAGGGTGTCGCCTCTCTTAAGGGTTCAACTCTCTTTCATCCACGTACTCCATTCCAACTGGCAATGATGCGGGAGCTGGCCAAAGCAACCGAAAGAGGCAATACTTTCTACATTTTCAGATACACTGAAAGCTCAGGATATTGGCTTGCGGGCACTGCCTGAACAGATTCTTAATGACACTTCTAGACTAAAAGGCATCCCCAAGAAAGCTTACCTGAAGAAATACCAATTAGATGAAAAGTCTGGGAAGCAGAGGAGGTAAAGAGAGCAGTGATTCAACTTACATGACTTCTACTGCCTACCCACCAGCGGACCAAGAAAAGAAATATGATGTAAATTTTCATCTTAAAAACCTATAGAAGGGCCGGCCCGGTAGCGCACTGCTACAGTGTGCCTCTTGGGAGCTCGGCGGTGCTCCTGACGAGGGTTCAGATCCCACATACAGACCGGTTCCCGCTCACTGGCTGAGCGAGGTGCGGGCGCAGCACCGAGGGTTGCGATCCCATTGCCGGACACGAAAAAAGACAAAAAGGAAAAAAAAAAAAAAACCTATAGAAGAAGCTTACTAGATAAGATTAACATAGATAAAAGTATTTCAAGAAATGTAAGCATTTCCCATTTTCAATTTCTTCTCTTCAGAACACACTATTTACTGGCCTTCAAACAAAAAGAGGCTTGGTGGTAAGTGAATGAACTGCTGAGCGCTAGGTTAGACCACCGGTTCCACTACACACTAGGTGTGACCCCGAGTGAGTCACATAACTTTCCAGAGCCTCAGTCTTCCTGTCTGCATAATGAGAATAATACTAGCTAACCAGCCTCCAGGAACATGGGAATAATATCACTCGACCAGAGAATAAATGAACTGGCATAGTTAAACCCTGCACCTACACTCTGCTTCGTTTATAGTAGACTCTCAGTGAATGTCATTATCTGTATAAAACCCACTGCATTTTCCCCAGAGCAAGACGATTAGATTTCAGTTTATCCAGTAAGACAACAATGAAAATAAAATTGTGCCAATGCAGGTTGTGATTCCGAATTATTCTTCGGCTAAATGCTGTTTATTATTGTTTTGTTGTGGTGGTAGTTGTTGTTTTCCTTCTCAAAAAGCAGGTAAGAGTGAATAATCTATAAGGAATGTGAGTGCTTTGGTTGAAATTCTCTTAAAACAAGCTTATCATATGTTACTCATTAAATGAAAAACAATCTCCTAACTTTCCCCAACTGGAATTAAGTCAGATGAAATTGCAGTCATAACATCATATGTCAACCAGGAAGTTTCTTGTCTACTTGGGGACAAATATTTCTTCTTCAGGGCTCAAAGTTTGGCTCAGATTTTAGTGATAAAGACTCTAAAGTATCTTTGCATCCACACTGTTGCCAGTTGGGAACTAATTAATAGGGCATTGTAAATACTGCCCCAGTGTGTTGTAGGAAGACCCCTAGCCTGAGAGCAAAGAACCCTGGTTTCTGGTCCTGTCTCAGACACTAGAATTCCTACAACCCTGGAGAAGTCACCTTACTTGTCTGAGTTCAGTGACAACTCTGAACTTCCTTCTAGATGGAACATCCTATGGTCCTATGTTGAAGGTACAGTTAGCAAATAGGATAGCTGGGCAAACTGACCAGAGATGCCAACTCTACATCAAGTCCACGAGACCCGATGGCTGTGAAACCTAGGCCTTTTTTCTGCCAAAGGAGTATGGAAAATGAGCATGTTCTTCCTGGGACAAAGGCCAGTAACCACCTGCTGCAATACTGAGGAAAAGTACCAAGGCACCCCTTTAGGGAAATAAAGGTGAAGTCATTTGAAAAAAATAATGTGGAGTATCTGATATCTGCTGGTGTCCCCAAATGATCAATTGAGCCTTACAAAAATTCACGGCTATAGAAGTAGCAAAAATTAAGATTAGGATTAGCATTAGGCTGACGGTTGCCTTCTTCCAGAGATTTAGGCCTGTTCTTGCTAGAATTTTCCTCCACGGGAAACACAAGCTACACAAGCTACTACAACCTGATCTTTCCTAGTTCAGTGAGTTTGGGACAAACCATCAAAGGAAATCTAGTACCAGCTCATAGAGCTAGCACTCACGCTCTTTTGTAACCAATGTTTGAGAACCTGGGCAAAGCAGGTAGAAGGGAGAACAGCTTATTCCTCCCCATTCTCCTCTCCCTCTGCAATGACGTGATGTAGAGGATGTTCACTAGAGTATTAGCGGCTCTGCTGAAAAAGCTTCTTCAGCAAATAGTGCCTGACAGAGTTTGGATGTGTTGTCCCCGCCAAAACTCACGTGGAAATCTGATCCCCAATGTGGCAGTGGTGGGAGCTGTTGGAGTCATGGGGGCCGATCCCTCAGGAGTGGATTACTGCTCTCCCTGGGGGAGGGGAGCCTGAGTGAGTTCTCCCTCTATTAGTTCCCAAGACAGCTGGTTATTCAAAAATCCCTGGCACCTCCCCTCTCTCTCTTGCTCTCTCTGCTTCCACCATCTTGCAATGTAAGACCACTGGGTCACTGTTGCCACCAGCAAGACCCTCACCAGCTGTGTTCCCTGGACTTTGGACTTCCCAGCCTAAGAAACTGTAAGCAATACATTTCATTTTTCTCTATAAATCATCCAGTTTCAGGTATTTTGTAATAAGCAACATAAACGGACTAATACACTACCTCTCCCTCAATCTCATATGGAGAGGCCAAACCAATCGCCACTCAGTTCAACTCAAGGTAAAGAAATGAAATTACTTCCTATGTTGGATGAGTAAGGCTTGGTAAGGGGACAGGGAGGGTGGGTGTTGGGCAGTGGTGTCACATTCACTGTATGTATGTATTTCCTGCAAGACGCCGGGGGCTTGGAGGACCAGGGCGCAGCAGGCCGGCTCTGACCTGCAGTTGGTTACTTCCAGCCCTTCTTCTGGTCATGGTGCATGTGAAATGCTAACCCTACCGCTTTGTCATGGAGAACTTGAGGGATGGGGATTCCTAGTTAAACGAATCCCACCACACTGAATGGCTGTTCTTTTCTATCCATCCCGATGGCTGTGACCCACTCAGTGGGCTACGACTTAGGACACTTTGGCTGCATCAGGGGCAGAGCCCGAAGACACCGCGGAGCAGCTTTCCTCGGCACAGGCATAAACCCCGAACTTGATATCAGAGCAGAAGCCAGAGGGAAGGGAAGGTGGGGAGCGACCATCCCCCGGGAGGCAGTTACCGATGAACTCGAAGGCCTCCTCGAAGTACTGCCGCAGGTTCTGCTTGTTGCTGTCGGTGGCCGGCAGCCGCTTGTAGCTGAACAGGCCCTTCTCGTAGTGGTACAGGGGCAGGTGCGTGGTGACGTTGATGACATAGCCGATGTTCAGCCGCTGCATGGTGTCCAGGTCCTGCGCGTCCTGCTCGTTGCCAAGGAACAGGAAGGGCAGCACCGGCGTGAGCTCGGCGCTCTCGAGGTCGGGGGTGGCGGGGAGCGGCTGGGCCAGCCCCGCGGCCGCGGCGCCCGCCTCCCGGCACTCCTGCAGCTGCAGCGAGTTGTCACAGAGGTTTTCGTGGTTCTGCTTGAAACTACTAAGTCCACCTGCAACACAAACACGGAAAGCGAGTGACTATCCCGAAGTCCTCGGAGCTGGCAGAAAATGCCACCTTCCTGAAGGGATGGGTGGGTGGGCGCTGTTGCTTATGTGTTTGGGTTTTTTTTTTTTTTTTTCAAATAAAAACCATAAATAAAAGTCCATTTGGAGACTCAGGACAAGCTTCGGGGGATGTCACTGCATGGAGTACTTCGGCAATGTGCTCTTTCTAAAACTGGGGCACATTCCCCTGGAAAGAGTTCCACGCCGCGTCAGGCGACTTTATCAGCTGCGAGTCCGGTCTGTTCCGAGAACCACACGCTCGGTGACCTATTTAGAACCCCTGCGCTTTGGCAGCCAAGGGAGGCTCGGGAAACTCCTCAGGCGGAGAACTTCCACCCGGACCTCGGCATCCAGGCGTGGGTCTTGCACCCTTCCAAGCTCACCTCACCCAGAAGGCCGACTTTGGCAAGTTAATTTTGCTCAGTTTCCCCATCTGTAAAAGTGGGGGTAATGGTACCTACCTCTGAGTGTGATTGTGAGTCTGAGATGAACGAACACGTGCACAGTGCTCAGCACACTGCCTGGCACACAGTATTGCTCAACAAGCATCAGCTGTTTTTATTAGTTTTATGATTGCCCACAAGTGGAAGCAACATAGAAATGCCTGGAAAAGACCAGGCAGGGTGAGGTGGGTGGGTTTTCCTTATGATCTCTTCTGTGATGTTCTCCACTTAGGTCCCTGACATGTCAACCTTGACTTACAGTGGAATCTGAGAGGCGCCCAGTCCCTTGTACTGGGCTTCCCGAGGCTTGTACATACATAAACCCATCAGGAAAGCCCTAATGGATCCATGAATACCCACCTTTGAGCTTAAGACTCTGCTCGTCCTCTCAAGAGTTATGGGTCTAGCATAAAAAGCTTAAACTGCACCTGTTTCCCTGTTTTAAAAACACAAACCTCCCCCTCTGAACAAGTGCAGTTTCACTTATGAGAATACATCTTAGTGAAGTCATCTTACCAAAGATATTCAGCTAGATGCATGCAAATGTTCACTATAGCATTATCTGTTTTATGGAAAAGGTCAAATAAAAAAATAGTTTTTAAAAATTATTACATTTATTCCATGAACTTTTATGTATCCATTAAAAAAGTAGTTGTGAAAAGTATATGAAAACAAAGAATGTTTCTGTTTAAAAGTAAACAAACAAAAAGCTAATTCAAAAGCTAAAGGACTATGCTAAAGAGAATAACTGTTTTACGTTAGGAAATTTATGGATCATAGTTTGTTTAAATTTCTATTTAATATTTGTTACACTCAGTCACAGACACGGATAAAAGGATTCTTATGAGGCTCAGATTATACAATATACAGGCAAGGGCGATGACATCACGGTTGTTATTACCACCAACTGAGCGCTAATCCTCATCAAACAGAACTAGACACACTCTAGCTTTCCCTTTGAAAAGAGGAAGAAGTTGGAAAACTACTGTTAGCTGAAAGCCACCAGAACACAACATCTACCCCTAAAGACAGATGTCTTATGACTGTCTTAATAGTTCCAGGAGATAAGGCAGGAAACAAAAAGTGTGAACAGGACATGGCTATGTCGAAATAATGACAGGAAGCCTGTCTGTCCACTAGTTTCTGAATCTAAGATACGTTGTTCTCCATTTCAAGTCTCATCTTTGGCAACCACCACAGAAAGCTCCAGATGTAACATAGACCACGTCTCACAACTGTTCACAACAGACAGACACACAGCCAGTCACCCAGTCATGTAAAACAGAAAAATGATATGAGAACTTTCATTAAGGTAGGGTAATAATCCAAAGAAAATTCAAAGGGACAATGTTGTGTCATCTCACTCGCCAAAAATAGGTAAAGTGAAAAGCTACCTTTGCTTTTGAAAAGAAAAACAAGAGCTATGAACTCTTGTTTAGATTTCTAGAACTGATTTCTAGTATTGTGTGCCCTTACATATTAGTTTATTCTGCTGTGAAATCATGACAATAAAGTTTGGGCCCAAAGAGATAATTTTTAAAGTAGAAAGAAAAAAGTGAAACCCAGAAAAACTTCACCAGTGAATTCCTAAAAAAAATAAATAAATAAAAAATACCCATTGTCATCATCACATTTGCCATGAAGGGGACTCTATCGGGTTATTTTAAAATTTGCTCAGTTTGGCCTCCATAAAAATCCAAGTAAACAATTCCACACAGATTCTGTGATGGGAAACTAATTTATTTTTTTCTTAAGAAAAAGGCAGTTGTTACATTTTTCCATATGAGATGAAAGAACAACAAAACCAACTCCAAAGAAGTTTCTAAGGGGGAAAAAAAACCTTCCCTCTGTTCTTATTTAGGGTACTCAAGCTGTAATTTGTCTTAAAAGCAGCTAGTTTTTTTTTTTTTTTTAAAGCATGCCAGAAAACCATACATTTTTCCATATGAGATGAAAGAACAACAAAACCAACTCCAAAGAAGTTTCTAAGGGGGGAAAAAAAACCTTCCCTCTGTTCTTATTTAGGGTACTCAAGCTGTAATTTGTCTAAAAGCAGCTATTTTTTTTTTTTAAAGCATGCCAGAAAACCCCACACACAGAAAAATGCAGCATACGGCTTTTTAAAATTCTGTCTCTACACCTCCTTTCCCAATGACATCAGCTGGAGGCTCCCCACCTGCCCAGTTGCCATAGCAGTTACACAAAGACATACAATGACATCAGTTGGCATGATATCAGCTCTTTGAGTGCAAACAATACAAGAAGAACTACTTTGTTTAAAGCTTTGGTGCAACTGTGTTCTGGGGAGCCAATGATGTAATGCCAACAGGTGGCATGGGCCTTCCATTTGCCTAATGGGGGGAAAAGCCGGTGGGGGAGGGTGGGAAGCAGGGAATTTGAGAAAGACACACACGGAATGCTCCAAATCACAGGGTATGCTTATGTGCCCAATTATGTGTGTACTGTATGTTTAAACCATGTGGGAACTCTGTTCATACAATAAATGAAAAGGGAGTGGATAGAAAAGGAGGAGATATTATAATTCAAACATGTTAGGTGGACAAGGAAATTCTAACGGAGGGGTCTGAAGAAACAGTCTCCTGTTTAACTGCCAGTGTGCTCATCAACTGGGCCTCGGCTCTCACGAAGGGTTGTGCCCGTCTGTGCAGGGCAGGTACATGAAGGGTTATGCAGGGCAGTCACAAGCTCTCTCTGTGAGGGTGCTTCAAGCAAAACGAACCAGTAGAAGCTCACAGTGGTGGTGTTTTAGAGAGAAGTCTGCAGGAAGAATTGTTCTTTTCTCTTGGAATGGGGTTGGAATCGGAAGTAGGAGGGGAAGAGGAAAGAGTCAGGCTAATAGGGTTTTTTGTTCCAACTACTTTCCCCCGCCAGCCCATTGAATACCACCAAACTGACTGATCACTTAATGAGGAGCTTTGATCATGATATATTTGTTATTACTACATAAGAATATCACAATAATTAATAAGCAATTGAAATAGAGGCAGTGTAGTATGGTGGTTAAGAACAGACGTTAGAGTTAGAAAGAACCAGACTGTAATTATGATTCTGCCTCGTAGGAGCTGAGACCTGGTGCAAATCACTTTTCCTCATTAAGCCTCAGTTTCTGGATCTACAGAGTGGACATAATATCACTTACCTATAAGGCTGTGGTATAGGAAGCCTACGTAAAGGTTTTGATATATAACCAGACGTTTGATAAGTAACATCTTATTACACCAATATCATCACCACCGTCCTCACCTCCAATTGATCCATGCACCCATGCAGTCCTTGAAAGGCCTAAGTGCAGTGCAGTCTGAATCCCAGCACTGCCAAACACTAGCTAGGAGACCCTGGGCAGGTTTCTTACCTCAGTTTCCCCACATATGAAACAGGAATAATAATAGCACTTACCTCACAGTACTGTTGTGAAGATTGAACTGGTCAATAAAATACTTTGAAACAATGTCTAGCACTTTTTTCCCCGTTACTTTAGGAAACTACCATTTTAAAAATCTAAAACAATTTGCTTTATATAAAAACTTGAAATGGTTAAGTAAGCTAATATTCCAGGGTTTTTACTTTTAAAATTTTATTTTTTAAGAGATAAAATACTTTGAAACAATGTCTAGCACTTTTTTCCCCGTTACTTTAGGAAACTACCATTTAAAAAATCTAAAACAATTTGCTTTATATAAAAACTTGAAATGGTTAAGTAAGCTAATATTCCAGGGTTTTTACTTTTAAAATTTTATTTTTTAAGAGAAGAACAAGAAAACGAGATATCTGAGCAGTTTTAAAGTTTGAATAATATACTTTTATTATAAAGAAAGCAACAGCTCCCTATCCTTCCTAAACAAACGTATCTGATTTCATTTTGTGTGACCTAGCTTTCCCAGTAAAGACTGCATGTCTGTGGATTCCTGGTTTTTCCAGAGGAGTACTGAATTTTTAAAATACAGCTGCTCTTCTCTACTCCCTCCCCCGCCCCGACCAAGCTGGCTGGCTCCCTATGCACACAGGACCTTGCAGTTCTCCATGCAAATATGTTCTAGGCATGAGCAACAATACGGGGGACAAACATTTTCAAACCTAATCTTAAAACTGGGTTCTCTGCCAAAATGAGTGTGGTCAGCCTGCTGATTCTGAACAGGGACAACAAAGAATACCAAGCACCCAGAAAGAAAAATGTGTGGAAATACCACCCACCAGTTCCTTCCAACAGGAGTGCCAAGTGACAGTCCCACTGAAGCCATGCATCCTAGCCTTAGTGGGAAACCTCTCGATAGATGCACTTCAGCTGCTGTTGCTGTTTTGGCTGCTGAGCTCCTAGAAACAGAAGAGCCCTCTGTAGTGTGATTCAGAAGCAGTGCTCTGGGTGGTGAGTTAAAGAAACCACATCCAAATGCAGAAACTAGAAGCAAGAGATTTCCATATTCTAAAGATGGACAGCACTTTCACACACAGCTTTTTGGTTTTATGCTAAACTGGAAAGAGAG